CGCGAGAAGAAAATGGGTCCCTAGCCCTTCTCCTGGGGGAAGAAGCAGTCCAACAAATGGAAACTTAACTTTGTTACCAGATGGGATTAAATGTTGAAAAGGCTTTAGATTCTGACTGTCTCTTTCCTAAAATGAAAATGTATTTCTTGTTTCTCTGTTGGATTTATTTAGTCACACATATTTATCCCTTAAATGTGCAAAGATCAATCCGTAAATCTTCATGCTGAAGCACAGCCATGATTTAAAGAGGTCCTTCAATCGTAGTTTTAATACTTTTGCAGTGGTCTCTAGTAGGAACGAATACCTTGTAAGCTGTTCTCTTGGAAACAAAGCTCCGGTACGACTGTTTTAGCACGGAAATTTCAGCCAAAGGATAAAGTAGCTTCAGACGGCAGGATTTGGAGTCTTATTTCCTCATATTTGGACATATTTTCTCTGATTGGCTAACAGCAAAGCAACTCTGGCACAAACTTTGCGATCTTGATGTTTTATCTCCACAAATAACACAAGCCTGAAAGAGTTCTGCCGTGTGTTCAGAGTTGCTAATGCTAATGGTTAGCTTCTACTAACTGACACGTTCTCTGCTGCCGAACATTGGCACCACCAGTCCCTCCGAACGCTACCAGCAGGCAATGTGGGTTGAGTGTCTTGCCCAAAGACACAACACTGCGACAGACTGAGCGGGGTTTGAACCTGCAACCCTCTGGTTACGGGGGCGGGCACTTTTAATAACACAGCTTTTACACGCCATGCACTTACAGTAAACATCAAACTCTTCAGCAACTTCTTCTCTCACCCCAAATGTCAATGTGTGTCAGGTCCGAGGTGAAGTTTTTGAGATAGTTTAGTTTTTTTGATACAACAGGCCTAACTTATATCGAAGTAGTTGTCAACTTTTGCAAAGATCATATTCACATTTTAAGTTTGCATGACAGAAGATATCTAAAACCATTGAGTTGTTTTTAAATACAGTGGGACAAAAAAGTATTAAGTCAACCTCTATTTGAGCAAGTTGTACCACCTAAATAGATGAGAGAGGCCTGTAATTTTCATCATAGGTTTATCATAACTGAGTCAAAATGAGAAAAAAATCCAGAAAAACACATTGTCTGATTTTTAAAAAATTTATTTGCAAATAATTGAGGAAAATAAACGTTTTACCTGGATCTATGATGCAACATATGTGACGACAAACGAAACAATAATGCAGATGGTTCAAATTGTTTAGTCATCTCAAAACTGGGCGTGAGTGTTGGAAACCAGGACTTGGGGATGCAGGATGGTGGAATAAAGACTTTTTGCATTCCTCAAAGTGACTTCTGTCTGTCTGCTTGATGTTTGCTCTTTTTTGTGCGATATCTTCACGGCTCTTACTTCTTAGAAACCTCTAGAGGTTTAGCTCAAACTCAATAGAAACTCTCATCTCTGCACTGGTAGACTTGAGGTTTTTGTGATGAGCATCAATAATGAGGCTGTAGGTAATTTTTTCATCATCATCATCAACCTTTATTTATAAAGCATATTTAAACGGTGACAACGCCAACCAAAGTGCTGTACAAGACAATGCATCACCAAACTAGATACAGCAGCATAAAATAGATAAAACAAAAAAAAAACTATAGTAACAAACAGGAAAGCACAAGGGTACAACTGTCTCAGCCGGGAAGGCCAGGGAATAGAAATATGTCTTTAAACGTACTTTAAAAGTGGGAAGGGAGGGGGCGAGTCAGACCATCAGGGGGAGTTGGTTCCAAAGTTTAGGCGCACAAACTGAAAAAGCCCTTTCGCCATGGGCCATATGGTGGGCAGGAGGGACAAGCAGAAGGTGCTAGTCTCAGGGTTCGCACTGGAACACAGGGGCTTAAAAGATGTGCCAAATAAGAGGGGGTCATTTCATGAATAGATTTGTAAACCAACAGGACAATGTTGAACTTAATATGAAACCGAACGCCAGTGTGAATTTGCCAAAACTGGAGTGATATGCTGCCGTCGGTCTATGCCCGTAAGAAACCTTGCAGCAGCATTCTGTACCAATTGGAGGCGTACCACTGAAGAGGAGAGAATACCATATAAAAGAGAGTTGGCATAGTCCAGACGTGACGTTACAAAAGCATGAACCACTGACTGTAGATCTTTTTTGTTCAGGACAGATTTTAGTTTGGCCAGCCGGCCAAGATGAAAGAAACATGACCTGACTACCTGGTTTATCTGTGCATCCATTTAAAAAAGCGTCCAGAGTGACCCCCAAATTTGTAGTTGTCAGCTTCACCAAAACTGACAATGAAGGGGGCAGAGATGGCTCCACGTTATTGACATTATACATTTTATAATTCCATCAACACTTTAAAAATGAAATGAGTGCAAGTTTGTTTTCTTCTCCTTTTTCTGTGAAACACGTTTTATTGTTCGATTATCAGCCGTTCCTCAGCAGAGGTTTTTAGATTTTATCCTGAACACGGAAATCAGAGCGATCCCATCTTTCCAGTTAACTGAAGATGTCAGGAAGAAGATTCAAACACACTTAACCATGAATAGACTTTAGAAAGAAGATTTTTCCTCCGAATCCTTCGGCGTCGGATGGGATCCTCTCACTGTGACAAAGTAATCTCATCCTTCATCACTCCACTCTCCAGCATCATTTAGAGTTTACAGGTGCTGGCCAGTAAATTAGAATATCATCAAAAGGTTGAAAATATTTCAGTAATTCCATTCAAAACGTGAAACTTGTACATTATATTCATGCAATGCACACAGACCAATGTATTTCCAATGTTCATTACATTTAAATTTGATATTCATAAGTGACAACTAATGAAAACTCCAAATTTGGTATCTCAAAAAATTAGAATATTCTGAAAAGGCTGAATATAGAAGACACCTGCTGCCACTCTAATCAGCTGATTTACTCAAAACACCTGCAAAGGCCTTTAAAAGGTCCCTCAGTCTTGTTTTGAAGGCACCACAATCATGGGGAAGACTTCTGACTTAACAGCTGTCCAAAAGACAATCATTGACACCTTGCACAAGGAGGGCAAGACACAAAAGGTGATTGCTAAAGAAGCTGGCTGTTCGCAGAGCTCTGTGTCCAAGCACATTAACAGACAGGCGAAGGGACGGAAAAAATGTGGTAGAAAAAAGTGTACAAGCTCTAGGGATAACCACACCCTGCAGAGAATTGTGACGACAAACCCATTCAAAAATGTGGGGGAGATCCACAAAGAGTGGACTGCAGCTGGAGTCAGCGCTTCAAGAACCACCACGAGGAGACTCATGAAAGACATGGGATTCAGGTGTCGCATTCCGTGTGTCAAGCCACTCTTGAACATGAAACAGCGCAAGAAGCGTCTCGCCTGGGCCAAGGACAAAAAGGACTGGACTGATGCTGAGTGGTCCAAAGTTATGTTTTCTGATGAAAGCAAGTTCTGCATTTCCTTTGGAAATCAAGGACCCAGAGTCTGGAGGAAGAGCGGAGAAGCACAGAATCCACGTTGCATGAGGTCCAGTGTAAAGTTTCCACCGTCAGTGATGGTGTGGGGTGCCATGTCATCTGCCGGTGTTGGCCCACTCTGTTTCCTGAGGTCCAGGGTCAATGCAGCCGTCTACCAGGAAGTTTTAGAGCACTTCATGCTTCCTGCTGCTGACCAACTTTATGGGGATGCAGACTTCACCTTTCAACAGGACTTGGCACCTGCACACAGTGCCAAAACCACCAGCACCTGGTTCAAGGACCATGGTATCCCTGTCCTTGATTGGCCAGCAAACTCGCCTGACCTTAACCCCATAGAAAATCTATGGGGTATTGTGAAGCAGAGGATGCAATACGCTAGACCCAACAATGCAGAGGAGCTGAAGACGACTATCAGAGCAACCTGGGCTCTCATAACACCTGAGCAGTGCCACAGACTGATCGAGTCCATGCCACGCCGCATTACTGCAGTTATTGAGGCAAAAGGAGCCCCGACTAAGTATTGAGTGCTATACATGCACATTCTTTTCATGTTCATTCTTTTCAGTTGGCCAACATTAGAGAAACAAACATTTTTTCATTGGCCTTTAGAATATTCTAATTTTCTGAGATACCAGATTTGATGTTTTCATTGGTTGTCACCTATAAATATCAAAATTAAACGTAATAAACATCGGAAATACATTGGTCTGTGTGCATTGCATGAATATAATGTACAAGTTTCACGTTTTGAATGGAATTACTGAAATATTTTCAACCTTTTGATGATATTCTAATTTACTGGCCAGCACCTGTATTCAGTCACAGGGAAGTGTGAGACTCATTTAAACTGCTTTTGATAGAACAAAACTCTGGAGGACAATTTCCATGGAAGAATCATTTCTCTCCCCCTCACACCCAGTGTAACAAGGAAAAGTCTTTTTATTTATTTATTTTTTCTTTATCCATGCATCTCTGGGTGGAGGTGAGTGTTGTCTCAGATCCAGGAAGCTCCACACAACGACTGAGGTGTCAGAATACGGCCTCCAAATTGGCTCAATGCGTTTCCAGTTTTTGGCCCTCTGACATTAAAGACAGACATGGTTGACTCCTTTATGAACTTCTTGTTCTTCTCTGCTGCTGGAGACAAATGAGTTTCTTTTTCATTCCTTCCAGCTCTGATTAAGGTGCTGATGCGTACAGCTCACAGCCGAACTCTCACAGTGTGAATTATGCAAACTTCTCTTCAAACAAGAGAAAACCCTTAAAAGTATATTTAATTAAAACTGCAGCTTCAAACACCATCTCTCATAGTTTTCACCATCCTGTTCTTTTTCTTTTGAGCTTCTAGAATTAAAAATGGTAGATTTTTTTTTGTTACTGTCAAACGTTTAAGCATGCTGATAAACAAAAAGACACCTGTTAAGCTTGTTATTTGAGAATAAAAGCAAAAGCCAAAATCAGCAAAAACCTCATTTAAAATAACGATTTGATCTATGTAGGATTGCATGATGGATCAGCTGCAGATTGTGATGGCCGTCTTGTTTCTCCACAGTGTTGCATAGACAACTACGAGGAGATGGTGAAGATCTTGTTGGACCGAGGAGCCAACGTTAACGCTCAGGACAACGAACTGTGGACGCCGCTGCACGCTGCCGCTACCTGTGGCCACGCGGGGCTCGTTAAAATCCTCATCACACAGTAAGACGTGCAAAAATCCCACATCTAAGTTTCCTTCTATTTCTCTTAAAGCGACATATTAGGACTTGTTTGAAATAGTAGTCCTACAAGCTAGAACACAGGTTTCTGCACAAAGCTCCTCTCAGATGAAGCAATTTCAGCAGTTTTACTGTGACAGTTTAGTACTTTCCAGAATCAGGGCTCTGTCACTAAGAAAACAAGCTGGGGCTGGCCACACCCACCCGTCCCTCACTCAGGCTACTATAAGCTGAGAAGCCCTGATCTCCAGGAGGAGCTCAGAGTAGAGCCGCTGCTCCTCAGCCTGGAGAGGTGAGGGTTCTATACAAATTTCCACATTTGTGATGTCACAATCAGAGACTTTTTGAAACGTTTTAAGCGCATAATTCCTAAAACAAACGCAGACAGAAACTGTGGCAGGTGATTTTACCATTTAATGGTTAGGTAGAATCTTTTAAGTATTTATCCATAATTCAGCTTTTATTCATAATAACAAAATCAACATCACTCAGGTGTTTCTGGAGCTGCAGTTTATATGAATCAGGAGGTAAAATATCTGAAAGACATTCAAAATCTTAGACAATTAAAATACTGTGAAAAGGTTCAATATTCCAGACTGGAAGTGTCTCACTCTAATCAGCTAATGAACCCAAAACACCTGCAAAGGGTTCCTTTAGATGGTCTCTCAGTCTAAGCCTAATTATAGATTGTCTTTTGCACCATATTCTAATTTTCACCTGTACTTTTTCTATTAAGAATTCTATTGAGATATCACAACTTCACTTTTGAACAAAAGGAATGCAATTGAGACCAGAAAGAATGCTTTCAAATCTTTAAAATAAAATCAATGTTAAAAAGAATTATTGACGTTGTGTTGTGATTAATTTTCACAGGCCAACAGGCCCCATTGTTTAATATAAATGCATTTCTAATAGTTGGACTGAATGTGACTCACATCTCTAATTAGGATTTAATTAGACAAGTTATTAAATTGAAAGTAAAGCTTAATGAAGATATAACGTCAAACATGCACCGGAGACAAAATAATTTAATTGAACACATTTCTCACTCTGAATATAAATGATCTCATCATAGTTTTATCTCATCTTGTCATTTGCATTATTTAGTTATCGATAAACATTTAGAGAACAATAATGATGTATTTATCTGTTCTTCCCTCACAGTGGTGCAGATCTGCTGGCAGTAAACTCTGACGGGAACATGCCCTACGACCTTTGTGAGGACGATCCGACGCTGGACATTATCGAGACAGCCATGGCCAACAGAGGTAGAGTAGAAATGCTTAAAGAGATTGGGATCTGTGGATCAAGGGGTTAAATTAAATATTTCTGCTCTTTCAGTGAGCTGGAGAACCCTAAAAGTGCCTCGATGCATTATGATGCGGGGTAAAACATGGATGCTCAGGATTGGAGTACCGGTCATTAATATCCCCTTTAACCTTGTAGCTTGAGCTTCTTGGCTCTCCTCCATCGGTTGTTAAGGTAACAGATTGCTGAAGAAGACTGCAGCAGAGTTGTGACCTCAGACAGCAGTTAGCATCCCGTGCAGATTTAGGAGCGGCACTCCGGGTGGCTCAGTTTCCATCTCCTCCCCCTCAGCTGGGATGCAGATTAGGACACGGCAAATTCTCGCTGCGTCACGATAAACAGCCGCAGTTCGTCTGGGATTTTAGTGAGAGGGAGGTGAAGGATGCAGGATGTTATGGGTCAGAGTGACATGGATTTATTTACGTTGGATCAGAATAATCCTGAAGTCTTGTCAATGCTTTGTTATTATTCTGCAGGAAATAGTTTTATTTACAGGCAGATGTGTGCACAAAAAAAAATCTCTCTCTGTGGATGATTTTCACTAAGACACAGACATTTTTTCTTGGCAGCTTCTTGATCATTAGCTTAAAGGACTAGTTTGAGAACTTTTATTTTGGCAGTTTTATGAGAAGTTTAAGGTTCTGACTGTGTGCTGGAACTGAACTGAAGCTCTGGGAGCCTGGCAGCTAAGTTTTAATTTAACTGTGAATGTAGTTTTTTTATTTGTTTACTTTTTGCTAATTATTATAACTTCAGCATTTCTGTAAACAGGACGCTTCCTTGTGTCATACTTACTCTGCAAACAGGGTGTTAGTCAAACTGTTTCTGTTTCCCAAGAGAAATTCCAGCCTTTTCCAGCCCAGACAGTGATTCTTTAGTTTCTCTAAAGCATATTATGAATAATAAAATGTTTAAAAACAACTTTTTCTGTGAGAGATTGAAACTTATGTGCATATTTGGCATTTCAAAGGGCATACATTTCTCACCGTGTATAAGTTGGGATTAAGACTGTTAAGGTCCTCTTAAGATAATAAAGCCCATATTGGTTACTGGAAAAACTGTTAATTAAAAGTAATACTAAATTAAAATTTACCAAAAATTACAGATTGCTTTTAAATCATGGTTGAACGAAATTATTGACCTGAAAAATAATCGTATGCCATAATTATGCCAATAATAGAGGGAGGCTTGGTTCAATTCAATTAAAGTTTATTTGTATAGTGCCACATCACGACGAGTCATCTCAAGGCACTTCACATAGTAAACATCCCAATACAGGTCAGTTCATTAAGCCAATCAGTAAAAAGTTTCCTATATATGGAACCCAGCAAATTGCATCAAGTCACTGTCAGTGACTTGATGCAATCCTCATACTAAGCAAGCATTTAGCGACAGTGGAGAGGAAAACTCCCTTTTAACATGAAGAAACCTCCAGAGGATCCTGGCTCAGTCTAAGCAGCCATCCACCATGACTCACTGGGGATCGAGAAGACAGAGCACACACACACACACACACGCACACACACACACATACAGTTAAAGAGCAAATTGTAGTAGAGTGTGGAAAGTGGTCAGTATGTCCTCCAGCAGTCTAAGCCTATAGCAGCATAACTACAGAGATCTAGCCTTTAGGTTGTGTTCTGGGTCCACTTTGCTATATCAGGCCCAGGGTGTCCTAGATTTTAAAGGTCCAATGAAATCTCAAGACCATTGAGGCGTTCTGGAGTGAAACTAAGAGCTCAGTGGTAGATTGTGGGTCCTCCAACAGGATCATGACCCAAAACACACACAAGAATGACCAAAAGCAAAAAGTAGCCCCAATTATTGGATTTCTATGGAAGGAGCTGAAACACGCAGTTTCTAGAAGGCTCAAAACCATCGTGTGACACCTGGGAAACGTGATACGTAATAATAGCTGCTGTCATAGTGATAGGTGTGTTATGGCGTTTAAAGCGTGCCACAACCCGTGCACGCGCATTGGGTCCACAGCGCGCGTGTGAACGGGACTCGCGAGCGGAAATATACATGGCGAGAGGTCATTTGTGCACTGAGAGGGAGCAAACTGTGTCTGTGAGCGCACAAGGATGTGCACAAGTGACAAACCTGCGTGCGCGCGTTGTCAACGAGCACACGGCAGAGGAAAACGTGCGCGCGCGGCAGCCTCTGTGCACGCTCGGCAGCCTCTCTGCGCGCTCGGTTTCTGACTCCTGCTCGCTCGGCTGTAAGGGTTTTGGCACTCTGGAGGCGTGGCCTGTGGCAGATCTTCTCTGTCCTCTGATTGGTTAGTGTACCCCGCACTTTACCCTCTACCTATCTATATAAAAAAGTCTGCTAGTCAAGTAGTCGCTGGCATAGCTCAGTTGGAAGAGCGGGTGACTCTCGCCCTGGAGGATCCAGGTTCGAGGCCGGGCAAGGAAAATGCAGTAGATGTCATGTTAATTTTTCTTAATTTCAGGTATTTTACAGTTGTGACCGTTCAACTGTCATTAAACGTCCGAATGTTTGCTGGGCAGTGTTTTAAAAAGTGCACATAAGCTAGATGGTTTTAACCATATAAAATTACATTTTTTGTGATACTGGAAAAATACATACTGAAATAAAACTACTGATTGAAAACTTTATGACTGTGGTTGTACAATATATGACTCACTAATACACTGCAAACTCCCTTAGAGTGGGGCTTCCAGAGAGAGAGAGAGAGAGAGAGAGAGAGACAGAGAGAGAAAAGTTCTTGCCTCATTAATGAATTGTTTATTTTTTTCAGTATTTAATTGACAAATTATCCTTTCAAATAATTAATTGATGAGTTACATAATTGTCCATTTAGAATTGTTGAATGGACTGAGTCAAGTTTGGTGCACTTTATATATTTCAAAACATGTTTTTTTTTTAATTTTAATGATGCATATAAATAATTTAAATGTTAATTTAATGAAATATTTCTATTTTTTCATTACCTCACCCTTGTTTTGACAAAAACGGGACCTTGCTGGATAATATCATGGAGAAACTATTTGTTCACAGTACATGGCTCCGTAAGGATCTGTGTACCAAAGGAAGAGATACTCAGAAATCTGTCTGCAGATTGTTACAACCCAGACTGGAAGTGGTGGGCTGTAATAAGAAAGGAGACCAAACAGAGGAGTGGGGGTTCAACAACTGATTTGTTTAACAAAAGTAAGGATTTACTAAAGCAAGTTAGTGAACAGAAAATGGCCATCTCAAGGTTTTACTCGGATGTCCCTCAGCAGGGTGCAGCACTGTTGAAGGTCATCTGAATGAAAGCTTGACATGCAGTTTCTTTATGAAAGTGTGTAAATATACAGTGTGGTTGCCATACATATGTTGAGGTTCTCAGACATCAGGCTTCTTTGCCCAGGCCTTCACTAGTGGGCTATTTTAAAAGTTGGTAAGGAGAAAAACCACAGCATATAGCTGATTGTTTACAAATGCAAGGAGGGGAATAACAATCAAAATGCTTGTGTTCTTGGACCAGATGAATGGAGCGCTCCACATGCACTCAGAGATGTTATGGCTTCTGTTTCTATAACTTTACATGCAGACATTTGAGGTTTGCCAGAAAGGAAAGCTGGCCTGTACACTTTGCAGGGCACAATGTCATCAATGAAGAAACCCCTGTCTACCAAGATGACCATCTCTAGTTGTAGCATTTTCAACACACCAGATTCCCAGGTTGGTCGCTGATAGTTCCAGCATACAGTGCTGAGACAAAGGTCACTGGCCTATGTGGCACAATCCAAATGAGCCTCTTCAGAGTGCAGTTGAACTTGAGGAAAATATATGACTCTGGAAGAGAGGGGAATATGGCCATTGACACCTCAGATCAGTGCAGTCAAGAATTACTGGTGTTTGGGTAGTCCTGAACGTGTTGTGATGCCCCCACCATCTCATTGGGTTTTCATTTGTGTTTAATTGTGTTTTTCTTCTGTTGTAGGCAGCTCGTTAAGCAGCCTTGGAGGCACCTGGGCTCAGGGTGTGGTGCTGCCTACAAAGCCTACTGTTTTTCTGCTTTCACTGGGTCTCTCCTGTGTGGTGGAGAGTCCTCACTGGCCATTTTCTGTTCACTAACTTGCTTTAGTAAATCCTTACTTTTGTTAAATAAATCAGTTGTTGAACCCCCACTCCTCTGTTTGGTCTCCTTTCTTATTACAGCCCACCACTTCCAGTCTGGGTTGTAACAATCTGCAGACAGATTTCTGAGTATCTCCTCCTTTACACAGATCCTTACGGAGCCATGTACTGTGAACAAATAGTTTCTCCATGATATTATCCAGCAAGGTCCCGTTTTTGTCAAAACAAGGGTGAGGTAATGAAAAAATAGAAATATTTCATTAAATTAACATTTAAATTATTTATATGCATCATTAAAATTAAAAAAAAAACATGTTTTGAAATATATAAAGTGCACCAAACTTGACTCAGTCCATTCAACAATTCTAAATGGACAATTATGTAACTCATCAATTAATTATTTGAAAGGATAATTTGTCAATTAAATACTGAAAAAAATAAACAATTCATTAATGAGGCAAGAACTTTTCTCTCTCTGTCTCTCTCTCTCTCTCTCTCTCTCTCTCTCTCTCTCTCTCTCTCTCTGGAAGCCCCACTCTAAGGGAGTTTGCAGTGTATTAGTGAGTCATATATTGTACAACCACAGTCATAAAGTTTTCAATCAGTAGTTTTATTTCAGTATGTATTTTTCCAGTATCACAAAAAATGTAATTTTATATGGTTAAAACCATCTAGCTTATGTGCACTTTTTAAAACACTGCCCAGCAAACATTCGGACGTTTAATGACAGTTGAACGGTCACAACTGTAAAATACCTGAAATTAAGAAAAATTAACATGACATCTACTACATTTTCCTTGCCCGGCCTCGAACCTGGATCCTCCAGGGCGAGAGTCACCCGCTCTTCCAACTGAGCTATGCCAGCAAC